TCAAAAGACAATGAACTTAAATATACTGTATTGTAATTATGCTTATTAGTGTGAATACATAAAATTTAGTTTTTCTGTAATTCCTGTTTGTCCGTATATTTTGTTAATGCGTGAACAAAAACTCATGAACATCCAAAGTGTTTCTGTCCAAAATGCTATGAGTGTTAGTGGCTTTGCAAGAATGTAAAAATACAGATATTATGTAATCTCGCAAACCTATTTATTTATTTATTTATATATATACAAGAAGGTACATTGGGTTTGTGAGAATACATTGGATAGTACAGTATTTACATTCTTGTAAAGCCACTAGTACGCACAGTGTTTCGGGCAGGTCCTTAATCTAGCAGATAATTTTAAGTAGGTAATTTCAATCGGAATTGATAAATGATAAAGATACATTACAAGAGAAAAATGAGATGAGAGAGATAAGTATATTAAAGCACATTGTTATATTAAAGCCCTGATTGATTACATTGACAGCTTGAGTAGTAATTTAAATAAGGTTAATAGACACCATACAGCAGATTGACAGCACATATAAGACAGCAATGATCACAATGGTAAAGATGTTCAGATTGGGTACATAAAGATTGGGAGACTGGGTAGCAAAAGAATCAATGTAATTTTAAGGCAAAAAGTGAAAAAACTATGAAGATGAAATTAGGTATTTTTTAGTATTGATTTTGAATGATGTAAAAGTTGGACAGCTTTTCAATTCAGTAGGGAGTGAGTTCCATAAACTGGGTCCCTTTATTTGCATAGTGTTTACACAGATTAAGTTTAACTCTGGGGATATCAAAGAGATATTTATTTCTGGTGTGGTGATAATGGGTCCTATTACATCTGTCCAGGAAGAGTTTCAGACAAGGATTTGCATTTAAGAGCAGGGTTTTGTAAATGTAGTTGACACAAGAGAATTTGTGGAGTGAGATTATGTTTAGCATGTTTAGGGAGTTAAACAAGGGGGCTGTGTGTTGTCTGAAAACAGAATTTGATATTATTCTGATAGCAGATTTTTGCTGGGTGATGATGGACTTGAGGTGGTTTGCAGTGGTTGAACCCCATGCACAGATACCATAGTTGAGATAGGGATAGATTAGTGCATAATATAGAGATATGAGAGCAGAATTAGGAACATAATATCTGATTTTGGAGAGTATGCCAACTGTTTTAGAGACTTTCTTAGTTATGTGTTGTATGTGGGTACTGAAGTTGAGTCTCTTGTCTAGGAATATGCCAAGAAACTTTCCATAATTTTTATTGCTAATGTTTACATTGTCAATCTGAAGCTGAATTGCATTTGTAGATTTGCCTCCGAATAGGATGTAGTAGGTCTTTTCTATGTTAAGTGTTAGTTTGTTGGTTGACATCCATAAGTGGACTTTTTTTAGTTCATTATTAATAACACCATTTTTATTCTATTATTCTTATAAATAATAAATTATCTATTATTCTTATAAATAAATTATTATTATTATAGTTGGGCACTATAATGTTTGCTATAATGAATAATGACAAATATTGGTAGTACACTTTCTTACTTGAAATGCAAAAAAAAATAGGAAATGCATAATAAATATTGTATGACTACTGCATAAAATTTTTTGGCAAGCACAGTATATTCAATAATTTTATTTATGGTTATATTTTGCCTTGGGAACACTTAGCCTGGTTTACGAGTTACTTCAGTGATTTTCATATTTGCTTTTAGAGTAAAGTTGCTGGTCTCCTGACAGTTAGTTATCAAATGGACGTTCTTAATGGATTAAGTGGATTTTATGCTGTACAGCATTAGGTTTATTGCAAAACCTATAAACCTTGTACATTATTAAGAGTTGCCATTATAATAATGTTTATTATAATAATAATTTTGTGAGGGAGACAGTAACCAGTTTATACATAAAGTACATGTTAGGCTTATATCGAGGCCTCTCGTCCCCTTCCCCCAAGGGTTAAATTACTGACTTCCCCCCCCCCCCAGCCCATCCTCGTAAGGTTTCCCAACGTTAAGAAACTGTTGTTCTAAAGTGCCCTCTCCTTACCTACCAGAGGACCAAAAGCAAAAAACGGGACAGTACCCGTGTGTCAATTTTGTGAGCTGCTATCATTTTCTAGAAAAACAATTTTTGGCCTTAGAAAGAGTATATGTAAAAATGCAACATTTTAATAGGAGAACAGGTTGCCTCCCCAGCATGCAACCCCACAACAAGCTGACTAGCTCTTGGGTATCTCTTTATTGCTAGATGAACAGATGCATTAGGTGATAGGAAATGAACCCAACCATTTCTATCCCACCCAGGATAGAAATGCTTGGGTGCATTGTATGAACCTAAAGAGAAGATAGTGTTCTATAAAGGTGAGGTATATCACCCATTTGTGGCTAATTCTTTTACAAGAAATGTACTGTACAGTAATTATAAATGCAACAAAATATAATGTTAAGCCCCATTTCTATCCTCAGTAGAAACAAGACAAAATAAATTGCCACAGTGAAATGGTGGAGCACTATATGTTTAAAAAAGTGATATAAATGAAAAGTGATAAATATTGATGAAAAAAATACACTTCACTGCCTCTCTCTTAAACCATCTATAGTAATGTACAAAATAAACAATGCAGACATTTTTATTAGATAGATACACATAATGATTATAATTGAGAAATAATATTTTCTGTGTTAAGACTAGCATTGTTATTCCACTTTGCCTTATAGCCTAAGTATTTTCCTGCCATTTCACATTATTCTCTGAAAAATAGTTTAAACTTGAAGGAAGTTTTCTTGACACTATTATTTTATGTTGCAGATGTTCCTAACCAGCCAATTTTTTTATTTTTTCAGGTGAGTGTCTTTCTGTTAGTAGAGTGAGCTGTAGGCCTACTTGGCCTCAAGGACAAGAAAGTTTTGTTTCTTCTCAAGAATTACAGAGAGCTGGTAAGTATGATTTTCCTAGTAACTTATCTCGCGCATTCCAGAACCTCGATCTCATTCTCTTTTTAATGTTTGATTCATTCATTATCAGAAATATTTTTTGTCTTCAATTGAAGGATTAAGACATTCCTTTTCCTGTTTATATTTTACGATAAACCTCTACCAATCTGATGCATTCTTTTTCTCAACTTTTTTTTTTATTTACCCATCTACATCAATTATTGTGTTACTGAACTCTTGTAGTACTAACCTAGAATTTCCCTACTTGTAGAATTATATGCTTTACCATTTACAGGTCATGTCTAGTAAAAGGCTTGTATTTGTGTTCAGTGTTTGCACTAATTGACCTCACCATATGTGCTGACCATATTACTCTATCTTATGAGCTCTTTAACAAGTTTTTGTTGTCCATTATGTCTTGCTATATTCTAGAACTGTACAAGTGTTAAAAAAAGTATAAAAATGGATCTTAAACTTAAGTCAGTGAATTTTGCTTGCTGTTTGGCTATTATAATTGTGAAGTGGTTGTCACTTGCATTTAAAATACATGGAATGACTCCTTCAGGAGTCTTCTTCAGGAGTTTTCCTTCAGGAGACAAGTAAGAAGTCGGAACAAAAAATTAATAGAGAAATAAGTGATACAGTAAAAATATTTGCAAAAATATTTTTGTTAATAGGGGAATGTTAGGATGAAAATGGATCAGATCAACAAGTTGAGATACTAAGTAGCATTGCAGCGTCAGTTTCCGAAAAGAACAACCAGTTGGAGGAGGAGTAGCCCGTCAGTTTTTCTGATAGGACTGTAATGTTTCCAAGGCTAACTGTTCTACTTCATAACATGAGTCAGTAGTACAGATGGATTCATTTTAATTTCATGGATGGGAGTCCTGGGTTTGAATCCCAGGCAGGATAGAAATAGTTGGGCACGTTTCCCATCTCCTAATGCTTTTATTAACCTAGCAGTAAAAAAAGTACCCAGGAGTTTGCTTGTTGGGGGGTAGGGGGGGTTGCATTCTGGGGGGAGGGTCAGTAGTTTGACCTTGATATAAGCCTAATGTGTGTGTGTGTGTGTGTGTGTAAAAAATATAATATCACACACACAGGCTGCCTGTCCCTGACGAAATGAATTATTATATTGTAAATATTCATTCAAACACAATATACAGTTCAACACTAATTCTATTGTAATGTTTTTACATGGTCCAATTATATAATGTACTTAAATAACTGGGGCTGCATTCCATTTGACCAAGTAGCAAATGTTCATAGTAACCATGACCTGTGGTCATTTCCCATGAACCACACCAGTGCCAAAACCTGTTAACTATTGCCAAACTCACATAGGCGTACATTGGACCAAACCAACCACCACCGTAACTAAGTTATGTTTGAAGTATACTGTGATTAGTGCCAGGAAACTACATAGTACTTTAGGATCCAGGCAGCTTCTGGATGTAAGAAGGGTGAGAAGGTATTTCTTCTGTCTGCATAGAGCAAGCTGGCTGTACTTTCAACCTGTCTTCCTACAAAGAACGTCACTTTTCGCTCGTATGCGTTACATAAGGTAAAAAAAATGTCATACTAGAAAATGGAAGCAGCTTGCAAAAGTGATGTACTGGCCTGTTTTCTGTCTTGGGTCCTCTGGTAGATTAGGAGAGGACGCTTTAAATTGACTTTTCTTGACGTTTGGGAAACCTTAGGCGGACGGGCTGGTGCTTTAACCCATGCAAAGTTGGATTACAAATTGCAAATGTAGGATGTCAAGTTAATTATCAGCATCCTTCAAGAGTCCTAATCAAGCTGCCATCACTCAATTAAGTATTGCCATTCGAGGATAGAGTGCACTTAAGCTGCTGCTTGAAGAATATAGAGTAAGCTTGTGCTCTATGGAAAGTATGATTTTACCTATTACACATTAGAGAATAGAAACAGTTTTGAGTACCAACATTTGAGTGGTTATTTTCAACATGTATGGGGAAGAGGGGTGTCAACACTGGTGTGGGACCGCCCATTTTTGTCCCCAGTCTTCCAACTCATGTTGGTGTTGAACTTGGGCTACATCCCTTACCTGGTTATTATGGTATTCTGCCGTCAGTATTACAGATCCTGCCACTGTTGGCATGCTGTATGTTTTTGTGATTGTGCTTATGATGAGGATTAACAAAGTTAAGTACTTTACAGGACTGTACTAGATAAAGTTGAGCTAAGGCTCAAGCGTTTAAAGTCTTGTGCATGAGGAGCCTTGCATTCTTTCACATCTGCCTATTGGGCGATTGCTATCAAGACTGGCCTTGGGCCGGGGGTTGGGGAATAGAACTCCAAGAACCCAATCAAGCAGGTATCGGCAACAGGGATTATCAAATTCAGGGACTGTACTATGCCCATTCATGAGTAAACAGCCAAGGAAATTTCACTTGAAATATCCCTTTATATTCCCCATTAACTGCTGTAGTGTCGAGAGACAGGGACTTAAGAAGTTTCAGGTTATTCCAATTGGGTTCTTAATTTAAGTTCAGTAATGAATCGGTAAAGTTCATTTATCTTCCATGTTCCTTAGGAGAGAACTCGTTGAAAGCAGTTCTTGCCTTGGCACTTTCATAAAGTAACATCAATCCCATGTTTATATGTAAATAAATTTACTGATTATGAAATCTTGCACCTTATTTATACAAAAGTAATTTGGAGATAAATATGTTAATTTAGTACATAATTTACTGTATGTATGCTGTATGCTTGCTCTGCTGTATGTATGTACTAAGGCACAATCATATTTGACAAGTTTGATCAAATTTTTCTTAAAATACCTGAAGCCTTAGACAGTGGTCATAATTTTGATATTACATAGCTTGGCCTTAGTAAGACATTTAATTTCTCCACAGGAAAAATTAATAAGGAACTCGGAGCAACATGGTACAATTCACCTTGCAGTTTCGCATACAGTAGTTGGGGGACATTAATCCTGTTAGGATTATCGAGGTACCCTTTAGACCAATACTGATCTCTCCCAGGATGTAACCCACATTTGTCTATTTCCTGGGTAAATATTTACTGCTAGGTGAACAAAGGCATGAAGTGAAAACGTGTCCTACAGCAGGAGTCAAACCCGGGGCCTCTTGGCTGTGACCCGACTACACTTGCCGCTGCACCACAAGGATGCAATTAATATTTACAGTAGTAGCATTTATAACCTTACTTTTGTTATCCTTCATTTTTATTTTTATCTTGTAAGACTCCACATGGGTAACCGAGTACAGTAACTGGATGTAAATTCTCTGGAAAGCATGCCGAGTAAAATGAATTGCTATATCTTGGGAATAGAGAACCTTTGTTACGGAGGAGAGATCAGGATAAATAAAAGGGAGAGCTCTAAGCATGTTAATAGGAGTCAGATGTCATCTATATCTATCTGTGCTTTTAAAAAATATAAAGGGGAACATGATAGAAGTGAAAAAGTGCATGAAAGGGTTTAATAATTTTTTGACACGGGTAACTGCAATCACCCTAGGAAAAACATGCCAATGATGTTTAAGGTAGCTTAGTTACATTTTCCTAGAAAAACATTTAAAAATTTTACGTTCAACCAGGTCCTCTTGGGTTCAAAGTGGGTGCCTGGATGCAGCAAGTGCTGCCATATGCTGGTAATTGAATCAAACATCAGCGCAAGCAGCAACACCAAAAACCAAAAGAATAATGTACTCGATGAAGAATTAACATTTATTAATTAATTCATACTTAACATGCACTAACATTTTTTTTTTTTTTAAGTACTGTACTGTATGTTTTCTATTTTGTAGCATGTTATGTACATAGATATTTCTGCATGTAAAATTAAACATTTTGGTGTTGATTTATAATTTTA